CGATATGAGAGGAAGTCTTGCCATCCTTGGTTCTAAGGAGCTTTCTGTACTTCTTCAAGACAGATTCATTTCTTCTTCTGGCAGTCCTTCCATGGTACTTCCCTTATTCTTCTCCAACACCGTAATTCAAATGCATCGATTCTCCTCAGGTCTTTCTCGGTCACTATCCAGATTCCAACAGTTTACTGATACATTTCAATAGGTAGTCTGTCAATTCCTGGAGCCTTGTTTACCTCTAATGCTTCCAGTGCAGCTTGGACTTTTTCCTTCAATATTATCGGTTCTTCTTTTTTAATGTGTATTGTGAATTGAATAAAAGTTTATACAGATCATCATCAGTTTTACATTCATCAAAGCAGACACCTGGTTTCATCTCAATGAATGCAATCCCTTCCATGTAACACCAGTGATCCTACTTCCTCCCTGTGCGTCACATTTCCAGTCTACCCTCCTTCCCATCTCATCTCAACTTTGTCCTTAGGTAAATGTTGCCCTTCTGATCTTGAATGGTTGACCATTCCATGGTGAGTAGACCTTCTAGAGTTGCTGTTCCCCCCGTATCTACTGCTTGGCTGAAAATTGGACAAGAGGGTGAGTTCCATTCCAAACCTGAAGGCTGGTCAAGGGTCACAGTCTCTTTCTGATCAGAAAGCCAGATGTTTATATTCTTTTTTTTTTTAGTTTTGTTTCACATTTTTTCCCACTCTATCCTGAGCCTTCTAACGTGATCCCTTCCAGAGCAGTGGACAGTAGTAGCTAGGCTCCATCTAGTTCTTCTGGTTTCAGATCCTGGTGACTCATGTTAATGTGTTGCTTTAGTCCATTAGACTGGTTGATTCCAAGCATAATTCGCTCTTCTTTCTTCCACACGAGGAGATGAATAGTTGCACCTTACATGGCCACTCCTAGCTTTTTAAGATCCTAACCATTACTCCCCAAGCAGGATGCACAACACTGTTTTTGTGGACTATGTTATGCCAATTGACCAGGGTGTACCCTGAGACTAGGAACATCATTGGTTCTTGACGATATTTTACCCCTTGAAATGGCAGAATGTCAAAAGATTCTGTCTGGTACATTGACTCTGTGTAGTCCTTCCATCTTCTTTTCATGCATCCTGCATTAGTTTACTAGTTTGCCCACAGAATCTTTCAATATTGCAAGTGCATGCTTAATTATTTTCCCCCCCAGTATTTTTAGCCTGAGCAATGCTGAACTAATGTTTTTCTAACTCTAGGGCTTTGTACATTTCATTATAATATTTTACTTTGTCTTCGTGAGCTGTCCTTTGGAATTTTCTGTTCAGATTCTTCACTTTCCCATTTCCTTAATTCACTTTCACTGTGCTCAAGAGCGAGTTTCAGAGTTATTCCTTATAAAAGAATTTTCTTACTCAACTACTAGAAGTGGTCCAAAAAGTTTACAAAGCAACTTGTTGGTTATGCTTTCAGGAATTCTTTTATTTTTTTAAAGGAATACAAAGTAAAAATTCTGCGAAACAAATTAATAAAAGCCAAAGCATTTAAAAGGAGCATGGTGGAGGAAGAGGGGCTGTGTGCTGACGACCGGGGGGCAGCCTTGTAA